GACCTGGATTAATGTAAATTTGATGGAAAAGCGTCTTCATGGCTGACACATCCACCAAGCCCTCATATAATATTGAATTCCACTTGTTCGGTAATTGATTTTTCTCATCTCTCGTGCTTTGAAGGCTGGAGCAGTCACCCTCTCAGAAAATCTATTAATCTGCATGTTGACCCAACCCGGCTATAACCCCTGTTTGATATCACTGAACTAATTTAAATGAACAAGCAGGGAGTGGTAGGCCTATTATAAACTGATAACAGCGAGAAGATATCGATTTCAAACGTTCTTTGAAATTATGGCGACGGAGCTAACAAGCCTCAGAGGGAGCACAGACTATATGATTATAAATAATATATCAATATATTCATCAGTAAGAACAAAAGATGGATCATAGGCTTGGGTTTTTTGGATGGTGGTGATGAAAGAACAGCGAGTCAGTCTGTGAAATATGTCAGTGGCCCTTTTCTTTTTCTAACCCTCCTGTCCTATTAAACAAGACATTCCTCCCTGTCTATTTTTTCTTGTGAACACGTCTATCACACGCCTGGAGGTCTGCAAGGAAAATCATGAAACACCTGCCTGCACTTCACCTGAGAAAAAACACTAATGACGTAAAAAAGAAGCTCATTCCTGTAGTTTGTTATATAGGTTTGTGTGCATGTCAATGGTCTGCAAAGGCTAAAATCCACATTTGTTTACTTCCTGAACATAGTGACATCACAATGTAACACTCATGCTTCTATTGGCTAGCGCACATTGTACGTGATAGGCTAAGGGGCGGGACATCTCTAAGCGGTTGACCAATCACAACAGAGCCGGCCAGCTAACCAATCAGAGCAGACTGGGCTCTGGTTTCAGACAGAGGGTGAAAAGAGGTGCTGCAGCACAGGCAGTATGAGAGAAATAAAGAGCTTTTTGAGCATTAAAGCATGGAGACATGTCACAGTAGACAAATGCTCGTGCACGTGGGCTCGAGAATGCAGTCGTGCACGTCTCCCGCTGCTGGTCATTGGTGTGTATTGATTCTCGTGCGCTTTTTTTCCTCTCGTTGGGCTGTCGGCATGTTTCTCTCCGTGTCACATTGTGAATGAAAAAAGCACATTGGGCTTGTTTAATGACGGCTGTTACCATGGAAACAGCCTCCCGTTTCAACAGTGATGGAGGAGAGGAAAACATAAGGGAGTGGCTGAAATGGTGCGTGTGTGTGTGTGTGTGTGTGTGTGTGTGTGTGTGTGTGTGTGTGTGTGTGTGTGTGTGTGTGTGTGTGTGTGTGTGTGTGTGTGTGTGTGTGTGTGTGTGTGTGTGTGTGTGTGTGTGTGTGTGTGTGTGTGTGTGTGTGTGGCAGAGGCCCGATGTATAATGCATGAGTTGTATTCCTTTGGCTAGAGAAGCCAAGTGTTTTGATAGTAGTGATATGTAACAGTCTGCTGCGGCTGCAAGCCGTTCCATGCTGTGTTTTACTGTCTAAAGACTCAGCAGGCTGCATCTAATTTGAGAGGTAATTATTCATGTTAGTTAAGGGAAACAGCTCCGAGCCAAAAGATGTGAATGCCATGGAATGTAAAAAAAATTAAATCTGATTGGACACAGTAGTACATATTTAGCTTGGCTTGATTTTCTGATTAATCTGCACAGCAATAACTTCTGTGTTTGTTATAATTACACGAGACGGTGTGAAAACCAGCATGTTTTCTGGGATTAATTGAGAACATTTGTACTCCTCCTGCACCGAACCCGAGCTCCAGGTTGTAGTGAATAAATTCTCTTTGCACAATTCTCTGAAAGCCAAGGGCTGTGGCTCTGGTTCAGATCTCCACCTGCGCCTCATGCTCTCTGCTCCCCGCCAGCAGAGCTGTTTCAGGCTCAGCGGACCACAGTATATGCAGGCTTTGCTGCTCCAACACCTCACTTTATCTACTCTACAGGCACCATGAAAACTGCTGTGCATGCTCTGAATCATGCAGCATCTCATCGCCACGCCCGTCTGCAGCCACGTGCAGATGCTCCGTCTGATCTGGGATAACAGGCGATGCATTGGAATGAAACACATGTATTAAAGAAGTGTTTCTTCAGTACAATTTTGAGGGGCACTTCAAGTTGTTCAAGCAAGTGGGCGTGTGTGTGTATATATGTTATGATTTTGTGACTGTGATGGAGTCATATCCATATAGGATGCAGTCAGGAAACTCTGCAGGTGTGTAGGTGGAGTTAAAATGAGGATGTGTATGGTCTGTGCAAAAGTGGCGTAAGTAGAGGGTTAGAAACTCGTGAAAGACTTGACAAAAGTGGCACAATATGACCGGTTTGAGCCCGTCACAATGTCTTGTTAATATCAACGTATCAATGTAAAGTGTGTTTATTTTAGGCACATTAAAAAATGACTTGGATTTGCCTCCTTGTGATTTACGCTCTGTCTGTGGATGCAAGTATAGGAGCCATAGGGGAGTGTTTTTGAAGTCTTTTCATTATATGGATCTGTTTCCCTCGATGACTCATTTGCTGCCTTGTGACTCAGCCCTCCTCTCTGCTTTCTCTCTTAGCGTTGCAATAGCTTTGCAACTGTGCATGATGTGGACACCAAACTCTACAGGTGAGTAGTTCAAATGAATGTCCAGGTTCAAGATGGGTGTGGTCTGAGGAAGTGTAGAGGAAGCAGGGGTTAGGAAGTGAGGAATGAAGGAGGTATCATTTCCCCATGTGGCTAGATGCTCTCTAGTTTATATTTCTGTCATTAGGGGGTACATGTTGTGCCTTTTTGACAAACTAAGGGGATTGGCTTCCCCAAATAAAAATGGGGGGTTAAAATGAAGATGGGTGTGGTCCGAGGAAGGGTCCGAGGAAGGGTGCAGGAAGAGGAGGGTTTTTTATGTCTATTGGGATCTATATCTCTCTCTGACTCACACCATTCTGCCTCTGTTTGGACACTGCCTCCCCCCCCCCCCCCCCTCCTCTTGGCATCCCCTCTGGCAGCAGATGTGTCTCAGAACCCCCCCCCCCCCCCCCCCCCCCCTTCCCCTGAGCTCCAGGAGCCACAGATCGTCTGCATGTTGCTCCGCAGACCCCCGAACACTTGGCATGTTTCCTGCTTGGTAAGCATTGGGACTTATTTCTGGTCAGTGTGTGTTTCACAGAGTCACCAAGCATCCTGAGGCCATGCACGGCCAGATGACACACACACACACACACACACACACACACACACACACACACGCGCGCACACGCACACACACGTCGCGGTTGGCGGGTGTCGCTGAGGCTGTAACCGTGGCAACCCCCTTTTTTCTCTCTCCCCTATATACGACTTTATCCCGTCTCTAACATCCCATCCATCCTGCGTCTCTCTCTGAGCCTCGCTCACTTGATCTCTGCTCGCTCTGACCGGATCACTGTGATCACTGTGAGCGTGTCATTATGATCATTATCTGTATTATTCACATCATCCTCCCCGAGTTCAATGCAGCCACTCACAGCCTCGCTCAACAGGTACAGAGGGATCATTTAGGACATCTACTCTAAAGGGATATCAGATGAGCAAGAGGGGTTACATGTGTCACATGACCTGCAGCTTTTATGTGAAGCAATCAGTCATGTCTAATGCAATCTCTGATTTAATTAGCCTAATTGATTTTCTTAATTGCTCCATGTTCTGCCATTATCTTGTTTTATATTTCATTAAATCATAACGATGACTGAGGTGTTCCAATATACCAGTATGTACGATAAAGGTGATATTACATGAACATTTTAATTGAATATCATGTTTATAATACATATTTATCCTTGTGTATTATGTATGTAGTAGATTTTTAATTTTTTTAATCCAGTTGCCTTTTCAGTATCCATCAGGGTGATTGTGTTCGTTTTGCACTTTGGATCATTTTAACCCTCCTGTTGTCTTCAGGTCAAATCTGACCGATTTACTACTTTCATCAATCATAACTTTTTAGTTTGACATTCGATTGCATTAAGGCTTCATGATATCCTTCACAGACATTTGAACATATACAATTGCTGATCACCACTTTCATTGCATTTTGGATGATTTAATCAACTTTGTAACACCCATGGTGTGACCGCCATAAAGAAAAGGAATTATCCGGATCGGATCGGATCGGATCGGATCACTCACACACACACACACACACACACACACACACACACACACACACACACACACACACACACACACACACACACACACACACAGAACAATTTGACACATTTCCCGCTCTTATGTGCCCATCCCCCCACATGGATCACACCTGGCACACGCAATACATGTTCAGTGTCTATTCTTTGTATATTTACTGCAGTTTTTCATGTATGCCAGTAGTCTGATACAATATTTACAGTTTGAAAGGGTGTTAAATGAGATTTGGTGATGATTAATGGTTTTTGTGTTAATGTAATAGCAGTTAAAACAGGACCGGTCAAATTTGACCATGAACACCAAAGTAAGGGGGGAGGGGGGGAACACGAAGACAATAGGAGGGTTGAACTTTTTGGACTTTTGGGGGGATTTTAGCCTTTGCAGACCATTTACATGCACACAAACCTATAATGTATAACACACTACAGCAAAGGGAAAACCCCCAAAAAGCATGATAGGGCCCTTTAATATAATTTTTTTTTATATACATATAAATATTGCAATAATATTTGTCATAAATTGTGAAAATCTGATATTGTAACTAACAGCGGTAATGTTTTGTTATTCATAAATGACCTGTCGTTGCTAAACTTGTTTCCTCTAGCAGTTGAGTTCATAGATGCTAAATGTATCTTTGATTCAAAATGAGTTATTATCAGTCAGATCAAACGTGAGGTTAAATGAGTGTGTCAACATAATAACATTGTGTTGTTGTTTGTTTGTGCAGATGGAAGAAGAGGACATGTCCATCAGAGCTGCTTTGATTGTCACTTGAAAAGGGAGAGGGCCAAGGTGAGACAGAGAACCAACTTCAGACACACAAAGGCATGCACAGCAGAACGGAGCTCACCTGGAACATGACTCTGTACTGGTCCTCAGGCTTCTGGACCACGCACATGTTGCACCCCATGGTGACTTTTCTATTGTGTGCCGCTCCAAAACGACCACTTCTCTCACAGCAGGACTCTTTGTCTGTGGCGGGAGGGAGAGCCCCACCCTCCTGCGCAGGATCCTAGTTCACTATCTACTGCTCCTCTGCACAGAAACACATCCCGTACACTCTCTGTCTCCTCTTCCTCCTCGTCCTCCTCTTCACAGTTCAAGTGTTGTAATCCAGAGGAAACCCACATGCGGAGCTGCAAGACCTCGTGTTTGTTTCTGTCTCCATCGCAGGATCACTGTGTTTCTGCTGGGTTTGTGCTCATGTCAGTGAATAGATTGGGCTTGTGTTTGCAGACGGTTTGATCATGTCAAAAGTGAGCATACAGTACACTTGCTATAGTGTTTATTAGTAGTAGTTCTGGTCTTGAACGATCAGATCTTTGCAGCCAAACTCCAGCTGAACTCCTTCACGCTGATCCTGAGTGTTTGCCAAACTTGCCCCCTGCTCTTTAAATGCAAGCGATGCAGCTATCAGAGAACTTTCCTCCGTCCTCTCTTTTCCTCCGTCCTCTCTTTTCCTCCGTCCTCTCTTTTCCTCCTTGCTCTGCTGTCCCCCCAGGATCCCTTCAGGAGTGTGTCTGCAGCGATAACTTCTCCTCCTGACAGCCCTGCGCCGTCCTCCACTCCCCCGGTCAATGCATTGTTAGAAGTCTTTCCTAATTTAACTTTTAAGTAGGGCAGGGTGAGCGGTGCACATTAGTCAGGATCTCTAAGCCGTCACTGTGCAGCTGAGATAAGCTGCGTGCACACCAATCAGACTCTCCTGCACACAATTCTTCTGCCGTCTACGAGCACACAAGCTGCCAAATGTCCTGTCGCTGTCGGCATCTGTTCAAAGAATGGGAATACCACACGTGTGATGCTCTTCCAGCAGACTGCAGCTCCGTGTTGATCTGATCTGTTGTCAGATATCATGACGACTGTAGAGCATTGATCCGCTGCCCTACAGCACACTCAGCACTCTGCGTACTGCTTTAAGGTGACACCCCAATGACGGATTATAATTCACTGAGTGACCTTTTAAGCAGAGATCAGACAAGACACTATCCAGGAATCAATATCAAACACATTCGTGGATCAAGTGGAATCTGTGCATGCTAGGTGATTTGGGAAACTCGCTCACTGTCAAGTGTTTGTGTTTTGCATGTGCAAGGATTTCCTTTCGTTGTTTCAACGGTCCTCGTCTAGCCTTTCGGATTAGCCTCAGAAGTAAAAACCAGATTTAATATAACTTCCTCATCTGTCTTCCTGTCCCCTTCCTCGCCCTCATCACGTTGGCTTCCTCTTTAATCCTCACAGTAAACGTAAGCGTTGTGTCTGAAAGGTCCGTCGACCCTGAGGTGTTACAGCTGCTAATCCTCATTCAAAGCTCCACTACACCTGTATCCTTTTCCAGAGGCGCTGTAATCCCAAACTCTGGCTCCAGGCACACATCCACTCTCAGTCATGTGCACACGGCGAGATACCTCCGCTCAATGAGAAGCTGGATAACTTCAGACCACCAGCGAGGTGTCAGACAGGCAGGTGTGTGTCTCCATCTCCTTTCCATCAGTCCTACATGGTAATTGCATTGAAGTGTCTCCGAGCGTCCTCTTCGTTGCCATGCTTTCAGGGTGGGATCACGCAGAAGGAACGCCTCTCTTGTGGCGCACATGCATTCACAAAAGTTAGTCCGTCTTCAGTCTGCAGCAGGAGGAGGAATCCAACGATCCATTTTCTCTAATCCTCCCTTTGTCCTCTGGTCAGTCGACTTGAAATATCCACAGGAGGGTGCGTGTGCTGAAGACAAGGGATGAAGAGCATGGTGGAGTCCTTCCAGGTGGGGGAGAGGAGTGCGGCGCTTGTCTCAGGTCAGAGATAAATCCCCACCAGCAGCCCCACCGGATGAGAGGAACCACTGACGGCTGATTGGAGGACACGTCTTGGCTTCTCCCTTTGGGCGCGACGCTAAAAGCACTCCCCCTCTGCAGCAGGGTGGGGGGGGGGGACACAAAAGGCGGTTGTTCCCCAGCGGTGGAGGATCCTGCTGATCTGGACGCTGCACTAACCCTTTCACACTATCCTTCCCCTCTCTCTCTCTCTCTCTGTCTCGCCCTCAGCATATTCCTCTCTGTTTCCAGGGTTGGGCTCTCGTCCTCCCTCCCCATCATTTTTTACCCACACCTCATTTGCTTCCCTCTCCCTCCTCCTCCCCCTCCTCACTCCCTCCTCTCCCTCTCTGCTTGTCTGCGGGCACTGTGAATAGTGTTTCGAGCAGGACAGCACTCAGCAAAAGCCACGTTAAAGTGCATGAAATATCAACGCGTGCGTGCATCGAGGCGCCCGGGGAATTCATCTTATGGCATGTGAGCAATTCTGATGCACCTTGAGTTGTTATGGGAGCGTATTAGGAAAGGATGATTGCACCTTTGCATAGCAGCATAATAAGAGAACCCCCCTAAAGCAGGTAGTAGAGCTGGTGAGTGGCGGTGCATCCAGATGAGGCTCCGCACCGCCACCTGCTAGAGAAAGAAACACTGTGGGGGGAAACAAGTGAGAAACAGGTGTGACGGGAGAGATTGAAAGATATGGAAGACAGCCAAGAGAGGGAAATGCAAATGAGTGAGTGGGAGAGCGGCGGTGGACGAGGGGGGGGGACACACACAATGCTTTCCTGCAGTCATCAGAATGACCTGCTGAGGAGGGCATATGGAGGCATTTCATTTGAAGTATCAGCCCAGCCTGGGAGATATTTATGAGCACAGTCGTCCAGTGGAACTCCACGCCACTCGCCGTCTCATTTCAATTTAAAAAAAGGCTTACTGCAGCAAAGCCCCCGAGGTTACAGTCACCGATACAGACAGGTTCAGATCCATGTATTTACAGTCGGCAATCACACTTGACCTTTCAATGGGGGCCGTTATGTCCTACCTGTCGACCTATTGTTCCATCTTGCTTACTATCTCAGAGAGTCATTTATCAGCTGATAGGAAATAAGGAACAACTGTAAGTCCTTCTCTCACACACATGCCGTCTGTCTGGGAATGTTTCAGGAACATTTCAATCAATTCATTAAAAATATACTTTGTTTATCCCAGCGGGACATTTGGTTTTGTGACAGTTGAAAAAACGAATCTGTCTCTACAGGAAAGTCTAGAGAGGGCACAGCTGGATAAATGACTAATAGGAGTTATTAACAGAAAAATAATAAAAAGCTTACATTTGCAAATATCAATCAATAGTTGATCAATGTAATGCAAATCACTACTGGTACCTGATATTGACAGTGTGTACGTGTGCAAAAGGTTTCAGTGTGTTTGTATGCTGCTCACTGTCTCTCATACACACATTTTTAACCTTGAGCCTTTTGATATTTGCTTTTTGAAATTCATGTTTGCTTTTCCTTTAGCAGGCTTACACATATTTACCTTATCGCAGGATGCTGCAGAGCTGCTCATACTGAATGCACCGCACATATTACACTCACACTCACGCACGCACACACGCACACAGAGGCTCTTTTCTTGTTATCTGATGCACTCCACTCTTGCATCACTCAGCTCCACATCTGTCTGCTTTAGATCTTCATCGCAGACACGAAAGGTCACTGTGTTATGAGGAGGAAAGACACTCTGAAATATCAAGCGCCCGCTCCACGAGACACAAGAAAGTAAGAGTTCATCACATTTAAACGGACAGATCCGCCGTGTACAGCTGGTGTCATGATCTGTTTCCTGCTGAAATACCAGCGCCTGTCATCTCACATTACCCCCCCACTCCTTCCTGCAGGTAGTCTGGAGTCTGCTGCCCTTTTCTTTCTGCACTGAACTCTACCTTTGGTCTGACATTACCTGCACTCATCCAAACCATGCGCGACTAATAAGCACAAATGCAAAAGCTGAAAAACATTCATAAGATATTCCTGCAAGTTGCTAAATTGCAAGCTTTTGTGTCGCCAAAATGTAAATGTGGAATATTACGTTTACATGAGTTTAAGTTGAAAGGTAGCTAAGAAGAAAGACGAAGAGTTGGGAGTCAAAAGGAAAGTATAGGAGCTGCAGAGAGTAGATTAAAGCAGTCCAAATATCTAACAAGAAACACAGTCTCTGTCTTCCAAGCGAGACCTTCCTCCTCTTCAGAGACACGGTGCAGGGAGGCACAGGCAGAGAAATACTGGCAGAATTTTAACAGCGTCCTCATTATTTATTTACCGCTCCGAGGAAAAGGACTGCCAGTACATAATACACTGCTGCTAGTGAGTGCATACTGTCTGCCCTTGACGTGATTGCCATTTCATAGTAAGGGATATGAGTGACAGGTAGTAGAAGAACAGCCCTTAAGCAGCAGCTTCATTCACATTCTGCAGAGGTCCTGCATGAAAGAGATTTCACGGAGGAAAACGATAAGGGCCGGCGGCCTTTAAGCGGCGCTGAGACGGGGACTTAGACTGTGGAGAGACGGATAAATGAAAGAGTGGGCGAAAAAATAAAGTGAAGGCCAGTGAGAGGAGAAGAAGCTTTATGGAAGGTACCTGAGTCTAATCGTAGGTGAGTGGAGGAAGCTTTGGAGAGCAGGAGCATGGACTTGCTCATTAACAAGCTGAGGAAATGACAAAAAGACACGGACGTACGCCTCCATTACTCCTTTGTTTACTTACTGAACATATTGACGTCACTTTGTAACACTTGTGCTCCCATTGGCTAGCGCTCCAACACATTGTACGTGATAGGCTAAGGGGCGGGACATCTCTTAGAGGTTGACCAATCACAACAGAGCCAGCCAGCTAACCAATCAGAGCAGATTGGGCTCTGGTTTCAGACAGAGGGTGAAAAGATGTGCTGCAGCACAGGCACTATGAGACAAATAAAGAGCTTTTTGAACATTAAAGCATGGAGACATGTAGAGACACTACATACTGATATACACCTGAACATCAGCAGGAGAGGACTCTTTAAAGTAGAGACACTACATACTGATATACACCTGAACATCAGCAGGAGAGGACTCTTTAAAGTAGAGACACTACATACTGATATACACCTGAACATCAGCAGGAGAGAACTCTTTAAAGTAGAGACACTACATACTGATATACACCTGAACATCAGCAGGAGAGGACTCTTTAAAGTAGAGACACTACATACTGATATACACCTGAACATCAGCAGGAGAGGACTCTTTAAAGTAGAGACACTACATACTGATATACACCTGAACATCAGCAGGAGAGGACTCTTTAAAGTTGAGACACTACATACTGATATACACCTGAACATCAGCAGGAGAGGACTCTTTAAAGTAGAGACACTACATACTGATATACACCTGAACATCAGCAGGAGAGGACTCTTTAAAGTAGAGACACTACATACTGATATACACCTGAACATCAGCAGGAGAGGACTCTTTAAAGTA